TTCCACTTCCTGAACTGTGTAATCTTGAGAAAGGTACTCAACTTTCTGGATCTATTTATGCCTGTCTGTGAAATCTTCAGAACTAGTGTTGTTCAAGGACTCAACAAGACACATAGAAAGCCTGGCATATGTAGACATTGAATAAAGAGTGGCTCATAGGTTTTACCTGCTTTTATCTTTGTACCTATTTTCTTGGTTTTGAAGTAGAGACTCTCATGCCTAATAAACCTGCTAACCAGGGTTCTGTGTGTTTTAAGAAAGATGATGAATGTGAAAATCCCTCGTAAAACTGGGAAGCCCTTTCTAATTACAATGTCAGGAATGATTTCATTCTACAGTGCAGCTGAGGGTCCAACTTTAGAGAGTCATCAAATTCAGAACAGGGAAGGAGACCCTACCACACTAATAGCTCTCTTTGTGAGCCAGATCTAAACCCCAGCACAGTACTTTCTGTGGGTAAACTCTGATTTCAGCCCTGCTTTCTCATCTCCAGCACTCGTTGAGAACACCTAGCTTGAAGGCCAATGGGTTGAGGGTGAAACGAGTCCCTTATCAACACTTGCACAAAGCTGGCCTTAGTTGCCCAATCCTAGTTCTTGCTGTTGTTGCCCAGGAGGGTACCTTGCTGCCCCCACCTGCCTTAGCTCAGGCCTGGGGTAGCAGTTCCCATGATAGCCACAAGGGTGAGCCCCAAAGTTTCCATGTATGAAATGTACCAACCATCCCAGACCCTTCCCTTCCCCAGCCTCTGCTGCTTTGGAAGAAAGCCCGATGGGAAGCTGTGGTGGCCATCCACTCAAGTCTGCAGACTCTGAAAGCATTTGCTCTGGGTGCCACAACCTTAGAGAAGCAACCCTGGTTTCCATGGCCTTCCCTGCCAACCTACAAGGTGGTCTTGAGTTACTCCTCTAACCTCAACCAGTTTCAGTTTCCTCACCTGAAGTCAAGAGTTGAAGCCTATGACAGTGCTTTGTAAAACCTGACATAAGATGAACCTGTGCTCCATACCTTTCCCATCCTAGTCACAGTTCCCATTTCAGGGTGTATACTGCGTAGAATTCCCCAGTACAAGAAAAGAATGGTGGAAACTTGCCCTTTATTAGAAGACTGTGATGTTCCCACCTGAACATCAGTAATAGTCAGACAAGGAAACACTGTGACCATGTTTGGAACAGGCTCATACAAGACCACAAAAATAACCACAAAAATGACCAAACATCCCTGCCACCCATGAACAGAATGAATGAGTGGCCATTGCTTCTTTACTAATGATGACTGAAGCCCATGTCAAAATCTTCTACCTCCTACATGAGATCCATTAAGACAGGCAATCACTGAATTGCTCTGTAATGCAGATCTGACCCTGATCCCTTTATCTATCCTTAGGCTCATCCAACACAAGTCCCAGTTCTCTCTGGAGTCCATCTCAACTTCCCCGTATGGAGATATCCCTGAAATCGGGCAGGTGCCTCCCTTGCTGCCATAAGCTAAACAAATGGGTTTTAGCCCATAAACTCTGAGAAAGAGTTCTACCCTGATTAACTGACATCAAACCTGGTATCCTGGTTGCTTGGCTATAACAAAATACCTCTTGTGAGGTGGCTTAAATGATACCAAGCTGTTTCATGCAGTTCTAGAGGCTAGAAGACCAAGGTGCAGACAGCTACCTCTCTCTCTGTGTCCTCATGTGGCCTTTCTCTGTGCATACACACACCTGGGGTCTCTTTTTATAGACACCAGCCCTATCAGCTTAGGGCCTCATTCTTGTAACCTCATTAACCTTAATTGCCTCCTTAAAAACCCTATCTCCAAATACATTCACAAGGGGGTTGAGATGGCAAAATATGAATCTGGAAAGGAGGACACAATTTAGTGCATGACACTTGTATTTTAATTTCTTCTAAGCATAGTGAAGAGATCTTCAGGAGAGGAAAGAAAGAAGATTGCCCAAGAACAGGAGTAGAAAAGGTCACTATCACTCAGAAATCCTTGCTGAGGGGGCAGATTGGAATGGGAACAGGACCACAGAGAGTGAAGAGAGCCCTGCAGATCCTAAGAGGAGGGGGGTTCTCTGAACTGTTTCCTGATGAGTTAGGCTCTTCCGCCCTCGTGACCCTTTGTGTAGCTGTGCCCCTCTCCTGACATATCCTCCCTAGGTGAAGAGATGGTTCCTTCCTTTGGATGTCCCTGGAATTTTATTACCCTTGTTACCCTGTTCCAAGCACCATGGCAAGTATTTTACATATTTCGTGGCTAGTCCTCACACCAACCTTGCCATCATGGTCTTTTTACACAGATTTTAACAATCAGTCTCAGAGAACTAGCTTGCAAGGCCACAGAGCTTGACTAGCAGGTCAAGATTTGAGCCTGACTCCAAATAATTTTGGGTATTCTCGTTCATCACAAAATTGTGACCCAAAGGTTTGTGGGGTTTGCCCACACACGCCCCTCTTTCCCAAGAAATGTAGCTGACATGGATAAAAGAATCTGTTAGCAAAGCCATGTGCTTTGTACAGAGGGTGATTCCTGAAGCCAAGGGCTGTCCACTAGGTGGGGCTGTGTCTGCTGATTGGCTACCCAGCCTGATGCTCCAGGCCCTGGCAGGGGCTTGGGGGAGACAGGATATCAGGAAAAAGAAAGACAGAGAGCTCCATGGACAGACACAAGACTGATCTCTCCTGTATTCCTCTGATAACTGTCTATACCTACATTCTCTGTCTCTCCTGCAACCTGGAAGAGTGGAAGGCAGACAACATTAAGGTGAGGGTAGAGACCCTACTCTCTGTTCATCTTTGTGTCCCTAGCAAGCAGCCCTGAACACAAGGTAGTGCATGCGATAGGTGCTGAATAAATACCTGATGACCGAGTGAACAAATGAGTCAGGGTGAAGACGAATGGCAGATGTACAACAGTGCAGAGAACAACAGTGGTGATTGCCAATAGTTATTAAGTAGTTTGGTGGGGGCGGGTAAATCGCTCAGGGGTGGAGCACTTAGCTGGGTGCAGTGGGGCATGTCTGTGGTCCCCGCTGCTCTGGAGTCTCAGTTAGGAGAATCGCTTGAGCCCAGGAGTTTCAAGGTCTACAAAAGCACTTACAAAGAGGGCTTCTCACTGTGTTAGCAGATTGACTGTTATGCAACACTCTCTAACCTGAACTTACCTGCATTTACCTAAAGCTACAACCTAAAGCTACTACAATTTCATGATGTCCAAGTTATCACTGACAACAGGAGGCAAACAACTGCTAATCTCAGATCTCCTGCATGCTAAAAAATAAGATGGTCAAATATTTCTTTCACACCCTTTGTTGTCTGTATACTTTGTAACATATTTTTGAAAAAAAGCTATCAGCCAATTGACGAAATTATTGGCTCTGGAGAAATAAGATGTGTATCTGAAGGCATGGAGGCAGTTCAGTGGTACACCATGTGCTCAGAGTGTGTGAGGCCCTGAGTTCAATCCCAACACACTGGAAAACAAAAAAGTTACCTCTGATGTCCAAAATTCTTGAGTCAAGTTTGTCTACCTGGGGACATTTATCAGGACTATGCTTGCACTGGACCCAAACTCCACCCCCCTATTTTGGGGTCCAATTATAGTCTGTATTAAGCAGTACCAAGCCCCCAAAGCATAATGTGGCCCCATACTGTCATTCATTGTAGCTGCATTTGTGCAGGCTGGTGTGGGCACTGGATTTGCTCCTCTGCCTTTGTGCTTCATTGTGAGTCTCGGGTGTGGGGATGACAATTCAAAAGAAACAGACTCCTCTTGGAACCAATGGTTCAGAACACTTGTCTGTCCCTCCTTTAGTTCCTGATCCTGTAGGGGCAGGGGCACTTACGTTTCCAGGCAGCTAGCTGCACTGACAGCTTCTTTCTCAATACCTGACCAATAACAGGGACTCGGGATTTCAGACACTTTACTGCCCTCCAGTACCAAGCATCTGTTTTCTGTATGGTGATGGCAGAAGAAGCCAATTCAATGGCATTGTTTGTGACAGACAACTATTACTTTCTTCATTTCTTAAAGCATTCCCTGGCTTCTGGGTGGAGCATGGTCATGGGGCAATGGAGAGGTGAAGACAGAGAGGTAGGAAGGACTTGGTGGACATGGGAGTGCTTGATGTTCCCCAGAGGTGGCCACTGACATGTAGTAGATGAGACTGTCCTAGAAGAGTGTGGGATGAGAAGAGAAGGAGAGTTTTGGCCAGATCCCAAAACTCACAGGAGAAGTGGAGGGAGGGAAAGACGGGCCACAGGCTGAGGCTGCAGGGTGTTGGTGCGTTGGAGGTGGGAAAAAGGCCAATGTCAGAAAGCCAGTCAAGAGCTGGCTGACTATGTGAATTCTGAGGTCTTTGCAAGGAAAGGTGAGCAAACATGGAGGCCAGGAGAAAAGAAAAGAAGGAAGCTAAAGGAGGACTCCCTCAAATGTGAGCGTGTGGCAAGCTGCTAGGCTCTTTCGCAGATGGTTCTCAAGTTCAAGGTGCACAGTAGTCTCCTAAGAATCTCCACGGTGCAGGTCCTTGGGATCTGTAGGTACGGGCGGGGCATGGGGCTCCTGGGACCACACTAAGAAGGAAGACTAAAGCTCAGTTAACCTGCACCCCAGTGCTAACCAGTGGGTACTAGGGGCTCCTTCTTATAGGCAAGAAAGCCGAGGTTCCATGGGCTTCCACTGCTTACCTGAAGACCCTCACTAAGGAGAACTGAACTGTGCTGTGCTGACCACAGTGACTGATGGTTGCTCTCCACCCATGGAGGCATATGGTGCAGCTCCCAGCCATCCTGCACCTTCCAGCTCTCCAGGTCTACTCCGGGCTCCAATCTTTCAGGCTTGAAATTCAGATCTTCCCGACATCAGCTGGCCTGCAGCCTCCAGCTTCTGAGCTCACTTGCAACGCATCTAAAGATAGTCTATCTCACAGGAAACCAGATACTATTGGCTAACTTTGCAAATAAAGATGCCCTCAAAGGAGGGAAGGGAAATACTCCCTGCGGTGGAGTCTGCATGGGACAGGGAGCTGATTGGTGTTTCCTGAGGTGGCTTCCCCATCAGCCCAGGTAGGTGCAGAGGACTCCACCACCTGTGGGTGGGGTGGGGAGGGGCTCAGCGCAGAAGTCAGGTTGGGTGAGCAGCACTGCTTCGCCCCTTAAGCCCACAGCTCAGACTTTTCCTAAGGATGCTGCAGCCTAAATATGTCCAAAAGAGTGGAGGAGTGAGAAGTGCTGAGTGCTTCCATTTTAACAACATATCCAACACGATGAAATATAATTGGAAGGGCAGTAACTACATCTTATGGACCTGGAGAAAAGCTCACGGTTTGACATTGAAAAGAACGTGATATAAAATTGCATCCGGATGTTGAAGAGTTATTGCCATTTTTAAATTGTATTGATTTTTTTCTCTCTTTTTGAAGAGCACTTATCCTTTAGAAACCTACACTGAAGTGCTTATGTGTGAAATTAAGTAATCAGGGGGTCCACAAGGTGGAATATAGGTGAAATACTTACAAGAGTTGCTAATTGTTGGAACTGGGTGACAGAAACCAAGAGGTTCTCTTTGCTTTCATATATGTTTGAAAAATTAAGAATAAAGAGTATTTAAAGTGACAGCTCCATTTTTACTGTAAATATAAACATATTTAGTATAAATAGAAAATATTGTAAAGACTGATTGGAGGAGCGCTAAAAGCAGTGCTTGATTCTAGGAAGTGAATTGTGAATTTTTTTCTTTTTGTGCCAGCTGCAATTTTTGTAATGACACATGTTGCATTTATAATTAAAGCTATTTCAATTAATAAACAAATATTTGTTCATTTGTAATCCATGCTCTGTATAACCATAGTGAGGACACTCAAGCTCAGAAGGTTGATGCCGTTTGAAAATGTGGTCTTTGGAAAGAAATTACTAGAACCAAACAGGAAAAGTATGTCCCTCCCTGACCACAGCAAACTTTTGGAAGCTCCAGCTGAGGACTGGCTATCCTCAGAACCACAGCCTAGCCTGTGGCCCTGCTTTGTGAAATTACAGATGTGTCCAGAACAAGACTAGGGAATTCTAGCATTCTTTTTTCCCTAAAAAAGTTTTTTCCCCCAAATATTGAGATGTAATATTTGAGGTAGAAAGAAATTAAGTCAAAGATAAGGAAGATGAACTACATGAAAGCAGGCAAGAAAATTTCCGGTCTCGGGCATAGGCCATTGGAGGAGCCCTCCTTTGAGGATTCAAGGTGGGAGGAGCACCTGGGCTACTGAGCCTTGAGGGTCACTGTGGGTCACAGGTTGGAGCAGTGACTAAGCTCAGAGCCTCTGGGAAATAGAAATGACCTTAGGAAGGCCAGGGTAGCTTCTTGCCTTTCACCTTCTTTGCTTGGCTTTATTCTTATTGAGGAATGCAGGACTGGAAATATTCAGTGTGATTCCTCTTGCCTGTCAGACTGACCTGGCCCTTCCCACACCCCTATGAAGGTGCACCCACTCTATGCTAGCCACATGCCAGACTCTGTGAAATCTCCCTCCAGACCTGCTTCTCAGGGGGCTGGGAGGCTGCTTGGCTTTGGAATAGAGTCTTGCCTCTGGCCTTGTTCACACTTGCTGAGTATACTTCCTGCTATTACAATGAATGGTAGCCATGAATCCTTGGAGCCAGGAAATGCATACATGCTTTCTATGACGGTCAGGAGCATGGTATATAAGGTCCCAATCATACTGCTTAGGCTGTCTTTGGTGCTTATAAAAATTTATACATTGTTATTATGGAGAAGCTGAGGCTCAGATTGTGAGGGATCCAGAATTGTTGGGGCAGGAGAGGAGCCAACATGTCAGTTCAGAACCAACTTCTTTTTTTTTTCTCTTCCAGTTTTTTTTGTTTTTTTTTTTTTTTTTTGAAGATACTTTTAAGGACTCAATCCCCAGTACTAATCAGAGAGGAGAAAATACATCCACGTAGGCTGGTGCTGTACACAGACTGAAGGCCTGGTCAGTAAAGGATCGGTTGACAGCTTCAGGGCTGCATTTACCTTATTTATTTGTTTGTTTATTTATTTATTTATATTTTTTCTTTGATGGTGCTAGGATTTGAACTCAGGGCTTCAGCCATCCACCAGCCCTGTTTTTGTGTCAGGTATTTTCGAGATAGGATTTCTCGAACTATTTCCCCAGGCTGGCTTCATACTGTGATCCTCCTGATCTCTGCTCCTGAGTAAATAGGATTATAGGTGTAGAGCCACAGGAGCCCAGCTCAAAACCAACCTTTATTCCCTTCTTCCACAACACCCGGGCCCATGAGGTGGCCTTTCCTCACCCTGGTTACCTGTGGGAGGGTAACCATGTCAGGTGTGACCCTCCCAAACCAGAGCCTGTGGCCTCAGAGAACTTCCTTCCTGGGATCCAAGGCATCTAGCTGCTCCTTGCCAGCCCAACCTCTGCTCCAGAATCCTAATCCTAAGGATGTTCTTTGTAGAGGTCGAGTTAAACAGGAAGGATCTCATGCTGCTCTAGCAGGTCACAGTTTCGGCAGGTCGTGGAGGCAGAATGAAAGAGTCCAGATCTTAGCTGACTTTTCTGAGGACTTGTTCTGATTCTCAGTGCACAGTGCAGGAATTCTGAGAGGCCATGCTCCTGAGTCACTCAATCTGCCAGGAAAGCGAAGGGAAATTTAGGCTTCCAACTGAATCTTGGTCCCACCTATTCCTTTTGGGAACCCAGAATACACCAGTTGTCATGGGATAGAATTTTCATGGCTTCTGGTCACAGTGGGTGTTTCAACCACCTCATCTTGGCCAAAATGCAACTATTTTGGATTACTAGTCTTGGAAGGGGAAAATAATTCTATATTACATCCCCTTAAATATCATTCCAGACCATTTTTATTCTTCTCTTTAAATGTCTGCTTATTGTGGGATATAACATGCTGAAAGAATAGTTTTAGTAGGTTAACAACATATTAAAGTTACTCTCTCACACAGCCACCATCTAGATCAATGAAAAGAACCTTGCTGGCACCCCCAAAGCCTTCCTCATGGCCCTGCCTGCCAACAGCCCACCTTTCCCCACAAGTAACCACTGTCCTGGTTGTTAGGGTTATTCTTTGCTTTTCCTCATAGTTTGACTGGATGTAAATATGCAACCCTAACAATTTGATTCTTTGCCTATTCTTCATGTACACGGATTCATACACAAGTGCAATTTTTGATATGGCTTCTTTGGCTTAACATTGAGCTTTTCAAATGCATTTATGTTGTACATACACAAAAATTTTCAGGCAACATTGTCCAAACTGGACACAAGTAAAAGTTACACACATGTGTATCAACAATAGAAATGATAATAGATTGTGTATACTGTCATAGTGTAATCCTAAAGAACACTAAGAATGAGCAGACTACTGACTCAGCAGTAGCCTGGGTGGTATGCTTCCAGAGATGATGAGATGAATTTACAGGTATCCTTTCTATACTCTTACATATGGGGGTGACTTTTGGTTTGGGGCCAGTTTGGACAATATTGCTATGAAAATTTGTGTGTGTACATCTCCTAGAAAAATTGTCAAAATTGGTCCATATCCATGATGCATGTACCTAGTGCATCTCCCTCAGACACAATTTCTACTTCTATGAGGAAGAATAATTTGTGCTGTCATGAGTTTTCCATAACTGCAGCATTGTAAATTAGCTCGGACAATGAAAGGGGGAGATAGTGCTGAAGGGTGTGCTAGAGAGGATGCCCAGCCATCTGTTGTGTGCCTATTTTTAAGTCCTTAATTATTTTTCCTTATAGCTCCCTAGGGTAGAGTTTGCAGCTTCTCTATTTCCCTACTTTTTCTCAGCCTTGGCTCTCTGCATTCTCACCTAAGCCTCCACTTAGACTAAACCAGGCTTTCCTGAATGCTCTGGGATCAAGATTTTGTGGCTCCTCCAAAATCCCAGCATCCTCACTTCCTTCTGTTTCTAGTATGTTCCCACACATTCTCCCCAGGCTCAGCCCTTCTGTGCCCTTCATTTCAAAGCCCAGTCTCAATCACTGATGCCTCCCTCTTTGTCTACCTGCAAGACTCCCACCCCACCACCACCACCACCTTTGAGGCTTTGCCTAAAGGTCAACTTTTTATTACACCCTTTCTTCTGCCCTCCCCCAGTCCTAAAGGGAACAGATGTGGAGGGCATCCAACCTTGGATTCTCCTTAACCTTTCTTATTTTCTGTTACTGAACAATAACAATCATTTACAGGTACTAAATCTTTCCCTGCAGAACTGAGCACAGTGTTAGGGAAAGCGAATTAAAAACAAACGCTTGCCCCAACACAGAAATCTTATCTACAAAAGTCATAGGGAAAAAAGACACTTTTATTAATTCAGTAATTCAGATTGTGATATACATTACAGGCAATCTGGTAAGAGATTGCCAGGACAGAGGGACACTTTACTCTTTCCTACAGCTCAGCGGATTCAATCCATTCCATCCATGTCTTCAAGACAAACAATAGCTAATCATCAAGCTGAAGATTTGATGGTGCCTTTTGTCACACAGACTTCATCCTAGCTTTACCTAGTAATAAGGGCGACCAATTTGCCTTGGCTAACTGGCTGTATGCAGAGGAGAAATAACCTTCTCTAATTTGATGCTAAGAGGTGGTTTTGCGGAGCCAGGCTCTGAAGTGAGGCTCCTGTCCTGCTCTCTCATAGCCACTGGGAGTCAGTGCCGTGTCCATTGCTGCTTACAGCACAAAAAAATGAACCCCAAGTCCTGGGGAAAGGCCTTCCCAGGTCACAAAGCAAGCAAGAGGCTATCAGGTTTCAAAAGGATTTACAAATATTCAGAGAGGAGAAAGCACAGGTTTCCAAGAGTAAATTCTCTAAGATAAGGAGAATTAAGCCTCTTATTTTAAATTTTCATTTGCTAAAGATGCTCAATAAATATTGGTTTAGTTGATAATTATATAATTAACAAAACTGTCTTTCTCAATTACTTAATAAAGCATTTCCTTTCAAAATTTCTGTTACTTTGACAGAAACAAATAAATGCCAGAAATTACTTTGAAGAGGAAAGGGAGGGAGGGGTGTC